TTGAAATTCCTATTTTCACAACCGGACGTCCGAATCACGTCAAATCAGTTCCGTTTCTCATCAAATTTCACAGATAAGGTATAAATATTATTTTGGACCTGTACCGGGCTCCAGAACCAAAATACATGCCCGATACTAACAAGATCAACCATTAACTAAATTCTTAAAACCATTTAATTTCCACTCTTTCAATTTTCATCAAAAATTCATGTTTTGAGCTAGGAACCTCGAAATTCGGTTCCGGGCATTCGCCCATGTTCCATATTTCGATACGGACCCATCGGGACAGTCAAAACACGAGTCCAGGTCCGTTTACTCAAAACGTTGACCGAAGTCAACTAAATCAACTTTTAAAGGTAAATTTTATTATTTTATCAACTTTCAACATAAAAGCTTTTCGGAAATACGCGCGGGTTGCGCACGCAAATCGAGGAAGAATAAAATAAGATTTTGAAGGCCTCGAAACACGGAATCGAGTCCTAAAACATAATATGACCTTTTGGGTCATCACAGAAGGAGAAAAAGAATAGAAGAAGAAGAAGAAGAAGAAGAAGAAGAAGAAGAAGAAGCACCAAAGAAGCAACGACAGAGAATAAGTAGCAGCAACGGAGAAGAAAGCGGTATCTGAAGTTAACTAAATATTGGGTATCAATTAAACTTTAAAATAAATGAATACATGTTAAATGGAGGCGGCCAAATAGAGTGTGCTCCGTGAAATTTTTATATCAAAAGTTCACAAGGAAACATTTCTATATCTTTCGTGCTTTTAAAAAATGCAATAATATGTTTCGGATTAATTGGATTAGATAACATTCTAGATTCAGTTTCTGCTAAATAAGAATTCAAAGTAGGGATTAGGAGGAACCACATTTCAGGTATAATAGGGTAGTCATCTAGCTGTCAACTAACATAAGTTCTGTCTTATTAAAAAAAATACTTCTAAATTATCTTCACTTAAAACTCCTAACTTCAAGATCTGCCTTAAACAATTGGCTTCGAAGTGACACTTCAACTAATTCAAGCCGCTTAATTAGCAACAACTCACGTAAATACAAAAGGAGAACATCGAACGAAATGGGTTTGGTCTAAGAGTTTGGTAGTGATTGACTAAAGTCATTTTTATTTTTAATATCTAATTTTTGTGTTTCTTTTTAATTTGAAAAAAATATTTGTCACTTGAGGGAAGGATTCTTGTGCCACGCACCAAAAAACAAAAGGATTCTTGTGCCACACATGAGAAAAAAAAATATTAAAATAAGGAGAATCACGAAGAAAAAAAAATGATGTTTTAAAATTGGCTCTCGGTTGAGTTCCTGTTAATTAAAATAGGAAAAAAACAAGAAAGAAATCACTAACTAATGCAAGTTGCGCACTACTAATTATGATATGAGAAGTACTATGTTTAGTAGGTTTGGGTCCTAATTAAGTGTTGTCTATTCTATAGCTTAATAATGCCTACACCAAATTGTGCTTTTTTGTTGTCTAATTCTCTAGATATTATTATTCAGAAATAAGGCCTATCTATTACTTCTACCTATAATAAGACTTGTCTTCGAATTTGATTTTTTTGAATATACTGAGAAGTACATCTTTTAAAAAATTGGTTAAAAAAAATACTCTAGACCATATATCACGAAACTAAAAAGAGTTGCTTGATGATTATTTAAATGTCCTCGAAAATGAGTTTTTTTTTATTATATATGATTGCTATTGTTGAATCGACGTTCTATTGGAAATAAATTTTCTACCTCATACAAAATAGGGGTAAAGACTACGTACACCCCACCCTCGCTCCCTAGAACCCACTTATTGTAATATCATACTCCCTCCGTTCCAGTTTATGTGAACCTATTTTCTTTTTGGTCCGTTCCAAAAAGAATGACTCCTTTCTAAATTTGGAAACAGTTTAGCTTAAACTTCCAATTCTACCCTTAATAAAAGCTTTTATAACTACACAAATACTCTAGGCCCCTTTTTGACTTATTTAGGACCACAAATTCCAAAAGTTTTTATTTTTATTTAAACTCCCTGCTCAATCAAACAGGTACAAATTCACATAAATTGGAACAAATGGGAGGAGTACTAAATATGATGTTGCACCATTATTTTATGCTGTTGTTAGGATTTGTTTTATATAATTTGGAGGGATGAATTTGATGAAGTTTGAATATTCTTCACCTAATTCTACTTAAATACTCAAGGGGATGGAAAATAATATCTTCAAAAAGAACAAATAAATTTCTTCCCTAATTGTAGGTTTGCGTTGAGAAAACACAATTTGACTAAACTTGGGACCCCTTTGTCACAAAATAAATAAGATAGGGGCTCTACCACTAAAATCATAAAGCCTAGTTCTCCTAATCATTGTTTCAAAAGTTGGTACTTTTGCCTAAATTTCTACCTACTTAAAGAATGTTAATTGCATTTTAATCAATAAAAGTTAGAAGCAATTCCAATTCTTGCAATTTCTTTATTTCAATGGTATCTTTACCAATAAAAGCAATCATTTTATTGGTTTGTGGGGTTCGCACTATGCATCTCGTGCCACCAAAATACATAATAATTCTTACATTTTTTCCGCACTTCTTACAAATGATTTTTAATAGGCTTGATTAATCATAAGAATATTTGACCAAACTATCCATAAGTTCTCACTTAATTAACACTCCTCTAATTGGAGCAGTGAGATTAATTTTGAAAAAAGTAATAGTAAATATTTTTCGCAATTCGATTTGTCAGAATGAGAAATATTTGGGACAAAAAGAGTAAGGATAACTGGTGCAACAAAAGCTTATATTCTCAAATGATATTAGAGGGATTTGCATTTATTATGGAAATTTTGTTTTTTCTATGATTAATATATTCTTTATCTTTTCCGGAAAAAATATTTTTAAATCTCATAATTGACGGTCAATTCATTCAACATTTTTTTTAGAGGATAATTTTTCACATCTAAATAATATATTATGTATATTTCATTTGTAACAACTTCTGAGTTTTTTTTTTAAAATACTTTTTTCTCAATGTTGTTGGATTTTTTGAGCTAACTACTTAGGCTTCAAAGGAATATACTTTCTTTGTTTAATATTGTTGGATGAAGAGGAATATATGCTATTTTAAAATAAATCCTTTGGGTGGAGAGGCGAGAGGAAAGAGATTGAAATGATATCTTTTTGTGAGAATTAAATTTTTGCACCTTTAAGATATCAAGTAATAGCTCTACAAATGCACTATATGTTTAAATATTATCTCACTTATATACTTGGTATATATTATCATGGCAAGCACAATATATATATATATATATATATATATATATATATATATATATATATATATATATATATTGTTTTAATACGCATATTAAATTTATTCTTGATTATAGTCGTAACATTATAATCCTTGGACTAATTTATCTCACGTGGGAGGTGAGATAAAATATTTTCAATTTTGATGGGATAAAGTGGGATAACGTCAACCAAACATAGTATAAAGTTAATTCCATACCTTATCCCACCTTATCCCGCATACCAACAGTTAGTTGCTGGTTCTGCCAAACTCATTAATTTTGGCCCAAAAATCGTGTATTTGTATTAAAAATTCACTTTATACGTATAAATAATTTATTCATAAATTAATCAACTGTTTTTTCTAGAATTCAAAACCTATAAATTTAAAATTATGGATTTGCCTCTGCATTCAATCATTTGTTATATATTAACAATATAAACCATTTGAACCCTAATAAGAAACATGAAGGAAGGAAGGACGGTTGATTCTTTGATTCGATGTTCCTTTAAGCATGATTTTGGACCAAATGTTGAATGTATCATTACTATAAAATGATAAGAAATGATTCAACAATATTGTCATAAAAAATAGTTTAGATTGTCAGTTATTAGTTGACTTTTGATCAATTGGCTTTGACAAAAGTTTATTTTTTCACCTTATAGTATTGTATGTACATAGTTAGTTCAGTTGAAATGGAATCTTGATTTTCAGAGATTTATTTTTTTCCCAAAAGAGTTTGATTAAATATTTTGACAAGTTTAACAAAATGTCAAAGTTATCAACGAAACCAAGACATTAGAGAGCTAGTCAAACTCTCAACCTATGACCTTTATTTTCTCTTTGATTGTTGAAATTTGTGTGAAATGCTAAATAAAATGTGAAAAATGAAAAGGAAATGCAAATCATATAAATTTGACACACTTATTATACTTTATTTTATACGATTGTTTTACTTCTTGGTTATTCCAAAACAACTGTTATACTTCTATAATTATACTCTGATACTATATTTTATAAAATTAACTTATTATCTTAAAAGTGTTTTTTTTTTAAAATTTTGTGTCCAATCAAAGAAAATTATATAAAAGAAAACAAAGTAAAAATTATGAAATCTTATAATTTTGACATGCCAAATATATAGAGAATTGCCCGCAAGGTTTCCCACGTGGGAGATCCGGGATCGATTCCCCTCACCAGTAACTTGCTCAGTCAGAGCTCGTCGCACCGGGCTTGTATAATGCGATTTACATTTCGTGTGTAATTTGCAAGCTATTATATAGTGAGCAAGTTACCCAATGCGCATCCTAAGAATATCGACTGCGTTTCCGAGTTTTCCAGGAAATTTTCCAAAAAAAATAGTAAATTAGTAATCAGTAATGAGCTAAAAATGGACATCATGAACTTAGATACTATCATATCAGTAATCAGTAAATTAATATTTAAAAGGCTCTATATTTTTTTAGAGGAGACAACCAAATAAATAATTGGAGTTTCAACAGTTGTAATCCATTTTTGTGTAATATGTGGGACCTCTTTACCTGCTTTTTTTTTGTGGGGGGGTGGGGGTGCCAGTGGTAGGGGGTAGCTAACTATATATGAAGTGCAAATGAGCGCAGAAAAAAAATGAACTTTAATTTGGAATTAGGAAGTGACCATTTAAGAGTAAGTCCCTTCATTTCTTTCTTCAGTTTCTTCTTAGTTTCTTATCATTCTCTTTAATCCCTTCTAATTTTACATTATGTTGTTTTTGTGGACCAATCTTTACCAGCAAATATAATCCAATTTTCCATGCAAGTTACTCTGTTTATAAAATTTATTACATCAATACAAAATATCAAGACTTTTCCATCTTTGGTTTCACTATTTTCTTGTTATTGTTTATCTTTCATTTGATCATTGATATTGATTGAAGGGAGCCTTGGCGTAACTGATAACGTGCAACGCCACGTGACTAGGAGGTCACGGGTTCGAGCCGTGGAAACAGTCTCTTGCAAAAATACAAGGTAAGACTGCGTACAATAGACCCTGTGGTCTGGTCCTTCTCAGACCCCGCACATAGCGGGAGCTTAGTGCACCGGGCTGCCCTGCCCTTTGTGATCATTGATATTGATTGGTTTTTATGATCAGATCAGGCAAGTTCCAGCTTGTATATTTCCTCTCGTACTTTGTTCTTATATGAAGACAGCTTTTAAATTCTAGTTGACCTTTTAGTTCTATTTTATCACTGCATGCCAAAAATGATTTCTTTATTTCCAAATCATGACCCTTCAAAAAAGTTCCATTTTTTCCTAAATTTTATACTATATCTCTTTTTCTCTGAATTTAAAGATATGATTTTTATTTGTTCATGATTTTACAAGATTGCTTTATCTCTACAATACTTTAGGTATTCTTGTTTGTCATTTGTTGTTGTTTTATATCATTCTGGCTTGTGATTGAGACCCTTCAGCCATTACAGCTAACTTTCTAATGCTTACTTAATTCATTTTGTGGTTTTTAATGGTTTTTGACTAATTTTACAATATTCATCTTGTTTTACTGTTTCAATCCTGAGATATTTCCTGAATGGGAGCCTTGGAGCAACGGTAAAGTTGTGTCCGTGTGACCTATAGGTCACGGGTACTGATACTTGCATCAAGGTAGGCTGCCTACATCACATCCCTTGGGGTACGGCCCTTTCCCGGACCCGTGCACTGGGCTTCCCTTTTAAGCCTAAGATATTTCCTCATTTTCTTGATATCCTGACATGGGAGCTATCAAAAAGTGAAAATCATGCTTGAACTATAGCAGTCTTAATCAGACGCGGGAGCTCAGTGTCTTTTAATATTTTGTTGTCAAAAATATCTTTCTAGCTTCAATCAGTTAGCTTTCACATGGGTGGAGTAGATTGACTTCTGCCTAACAATCAACATCTAATTATTGTCTTAAATGTGTATAGTTATGTATCTTTGATATGTAGGATTCACCAAATAGGTCATTTAGCCTTTAGTTCTTTCAGGGAATGCATTTAGAAGTTGATTTTACCATTTTTTTGGCATGTAATGTAATGAATGATTAATACTTTACAACTTCAAAAAATACAAGAATAGTAATGTTTGTTTGTCCATATCTAAAGTGCCTTTCTTGGTGTTTTTGAATGCTATAATCTTGCAGTTTGTTGATACATACAAAGGAGGAAGGCAGTGTTTCTTGTTGGAATTTTGAACTGATCTTGCAGTTTTGGTTGGTATATGCAAAGGAGGGAAGGGAGTATTTTTCTTGGAGTTGTGAACTTAGTCTTGAGATATGGGTGGATGCGTTTCGAGTCCAACTAAGAAGATAAAGTTAAAGACAAAGTACATTCCCAAGTCTCGTAGATTTCGAAGAAAGGCGCCATCATCTGTTTCTGTTGCACCGATAGAGCAACTTACTGGTGTGAGAAACTATGTAAGAGATGTTGATGTTGGTGAGTTTGTCACAATAGATTATGAGGACAGGGCTGCACCTATTGGCGGAGGGGATTGCGTGTTAAATCCAGCGTTTCATCTCTCCCAAAACTATCATCATGTTGATGTAACTGGTATGGATACCTGTAATAAGCCATAATTTTCTTGAAATAGCTGATCTTCTTGCTCAGCAAACATCGATTACTTTGAACCTATGTTGCTCGGGCCCTCCAAAAATGTCGCCGGCGGTTGCCTCTAGGATCCTCCAAAAGTAGTGTGTTTTTGGAGGATCCGACACGATGCGGTAACATTTTGGCGAGTTCCTGCAACATAGCTTTGAACCAAGTAAATGAAAGAATTTTTAGCATCCGTTTACTTGGTTATAGGAGCTAGATGCCAAGGAAAGTTAGGCATTTCAAATTGCATTAAAAGTGTTTAATTTCCAAGGAATTCTTTAATTTGCAGGAATAAGCCAAGAGGAAGCGTGGTTTGATTCTTTCAGTGTCCTTGAATCTGATTCAGATGAAGACTTCACTAGTGTTCTTGGGGGTAATCAATAAATCCTAATCCAAATTCTAACAGTAACCAAAAGAAGTTATTTCTGAGTTCTCTTTGTAATTTTACTTCCAGAAATTTGCCCTTCACTCGTCGTTGCTGCTGGAAGCGCATTAGATCATCAAAGTCGAAGCGAAAGCACGTCACACTTTGATCAGACCATCAAGAACAATGATATATCATGTGTAAGTTACTCTAGCTTTTGTGAAGGTCAAAATGAAATGTTCTGCTCATGTCTTTGTTAAGGCTTCCAAGTCAATGATTCGTTTCTCCATACTTAATTCAGGTAGATGGAAATTTTACTAAGCGGAACAACGTTGTGGATGATACAATTTTGACATCTCAAAGAAGGAAGTTAACGGTTGTAACACTTGCTGTTAATAAGAAACTGCATGATGGGGACACGACGACTGAGTTTTGTGAGTGTCACTGCAAATAATAATACATGCTAATTCATCTAGATATTATTTTTCTTGATCACATAACCAGTATACTGTCAAAATCTAAAGGACTTTATAAAATAACAGGTTCTTCAAGGAGATTATTGTATCGTCCAAGAGCAGGATTTGTTGTTCCACATTACAGTGATATGAAACCTAGTCAAGGATGTTGGAGTCGCATTGCACCTTCCGTATTTAAGCTTCGTGGCATGAATTATTTCAGGTATGTTTGCGTTGTGTACAATGAGATTTGCTAGAGTATCTTGTTTCGCTTTACATTTAAGCTGATAAGACTTCTATATTTCACAAATGCAGGGATAAAAGGAAATTTCCTGCCCCTAACTATTGCCCTTATGTACCTATTGGTGTTGATTTATTTGTTTGTCCGCGGAAGATATCTCATATTGCACGGCATCTTGAGCTTCCCTTTGCAGAGCCACATGACAAAGTTCCATCGCTGCTGATCGTCAATATACAGGTCCTCTTGCAATGCATAATTTCCCTAGAAAACCAGACTTGCATTTTTTACATTTTCTTGACACTGTCATATATTTAGGGCTATTTCGGTACGAGGGATAAGAGAAATTAATCCCGGGATTAAATTTGAGATGAGTTTATCCCAAGTTTGGGTGAGATAAAATCGTAGTATATAACTAATCCCGGGATTAGTTATCCCATGATTGTAGTTATTTTTACACCTATTGGAGATTGGGATAGCAAGCCCGGGATAACTTGTTTCCCAGCCAAACAACCCCTTATTCTATTTAGTTGGGATTAACTACTTGAACTAAGGCTTCATGTGAATTTTATGGGTTTTTTGGAAAATGACTTGTTATTTTTATTTTTATTGGACTGAGACGGGCTTACTAGAGCGACATGACAGTGAAAATTCGTATAGGATTGAGGCAGAGTTGTTGTTGTTGCTGTTTTCGTGAAAAAAACTAATAAGAACTCCGGATTTATTGTCGCAGCTGCCTAGTTATCCTGCTTCAATGTTCCTTGGGGAAAATGATGGGGAAGGAATGAGCCTTGTACTATATTTCAAAGTATCAGAAAATTTTGAAAAAGAGATTTCTCCACAATTTCAGGACAGCATAAAGGTAATAGCCTGTTCTTAATTTCTATTTTCCTTTATATAAATACTACTACTTTCTTTTATCTTGAATACATGAATAAACCATTTTCTACCGATATATATTGCAGAGATTAGTAATGGATGAAACGGAAACTGTAAAAGGTTTTGCAAAGGACTCAACAGTTCCTTTCAGAGAAAGACTAAAAATCATGGTTGGTGTAGCCAACCCTGATGATCTTCACTTAAATCCCGCGGAGAAAAAACTTTTACATGCGTATAACGAAAAACCAGTGCTTTCGCGTCCTCAACATGCTTTCTACAAGGTAATTTCTTTTAAAATTCTGAAATCATATCTTCTTTGATATTCTCATAGCTGATTGTTGTCAATAGTTTCTGCAATAGTGGTTTATACTCTCAAGAGTGCTTGTACAGACAATGCATGCATATAGTGAAACTTCAGAAGCCGGCCAATAGTGAAATCAGATGTACTTACTAAAGAAGTTGCACATGGATATTTATTATACTTTAGATTAAAATCTCAAAATACTAGTAAACTTTTGTTGTGTCATATTGTCTTTTATTTTTCTTAAACGACTCCTCATAATATTGACCTGAAATATTTTGTGAATCTTATGGATTATATTGTGCAGGGAGGAAACTACTTCGAAATAGACCTAGATGTTCATCGTTTCAGCTACATTTCCAGGAAAGGATATGATGCATTCCGAGAACGACTGAAACATGGAATTCTTGATCTTGGATTAACAATTCAGGTTTAGCTATTACATAAGTTTGAAACCCCCCCCCCCCCCCCTAAATAAAAGATCTTAAGTTTCGTTCTCGCACTGCAAACTTTTTCGTTACCTTTACTTGTAGAATACGACGTCTCATATAGGAGGAAGAGGAACTTGTTTGAGAACTTCCTTATGATATCAATATAATTTACATCGTTTCGTGACAGTGACAGACTCAAAATTTCTGAGTCATGGGTACTCATCTGCCTTTCATTGCTGACTACTAACCGCATAAAGGGTGCTTGGTCAATCTAGTTATAAGTTAATATACTCGTTTTTTTTGTTTAAAAATTATATTTCTTGGGTAAAAGATAATGGATGCTCTAGCCTCGCCATTGTTTCGTGATATCACCCTGTTCCCCTTTAAAAAAGAGTTCATATTTAACCTTGATTTTGGTCTTGTATTAACTGTTGTATGCATCTGCATGTCATTACTTGATCTGAGATATATTTGGATAATTGTAGGCGCAGAAGCAAGAGGAGCTGCCTGAGAGAGTTTTGTGCTGTGTTCGATTGAACAAAATCGATTTTGTAAATCGTGGCCAGATACCTCAGCTTGTAACTCCTGTTGATAATTGAAACAATTGAGATTTAGACCAATAGATGTAGATATTTTGCCACGGGAGGAACTGTGAATTATGAAATGTAACGATCACACCAATTTCATTTGGTTTGCCTGGCATGAAATTATTTTTTCCCAACTCTAATCCTCCTGGTGCTTCCGTAGTATAACCGGCGCACAATGTTTGAAAAGGGCAGCACGGTGAACAAAGCATCATCCATTAACACAGGGTCCGAGGAAGGGCCACTTACCCTAATGCAAGCATTTGATTTCACGCTTAATCGTTGCTACAAGACTCCCCTTCTCCCGCACGCAGTGTTATACCAACTAAATGAATGAAATTACTTGATTTACTACAAATACCGGGTGCTAATAAGTTTCTCTCATAGTGTTAGATTCAGATGCACTTGCTTGAGAGTGTATCAAATTGTGGGAGAGGGAAAGGACAAAACAGAGTTGAAATCAAGATTCTTGATAATCATCATTCACCCCTATGCAAAGTTGCAAACCATATTTCAATCCGCAAAGTTTCGACTGTTTGTATCTTCCACAACGTTGTGCTCTATCCAGACAAATTTTATTCCAATAGAAAAATAAAATTTTGTTTTAAGATAAATTAGAGGTTTCTAAAAATTTGAAGTTCACTCATACTCTACATCTAAGTTACTAGTTTCTAACCAAACAAAAGTTTACACCGAGCTAGTTAAAATCAAGATCTAAAAGCTGATAAAAAGAAACTAAAAACACATTAGGTATATTTTACCAACCTCTGCAAATTCAATCCTATCACTGTAAAAAATACTGAGAATCTTAAATTCACAACAACCACCACCACCCAATGATATCCCACAAGTGGGTCTGGGGAGGGTAGTGTGTACGCAGACTTTACTCATATCCCGGAGGAATAGTAGAGAGGTTGTTTCCGATTGACCAGCGGCTCAAGAAGACGAAAAGAGACAATAGATCAGCAACAGCAACAACAACCAGACATTCAGAATCATAAATTCATAACAGAAAAATAAAAAATAAAAAATAAAAAGGGCAGCCCGGTGCACTAAAGCTCCCGCTATGTGCGGGGTCCGGGGAAGGGCCAGACCACAAAGGTCTATTGTACACAGCCTTATCCTGCATTTCTGCAAGAGGTTGTTTCCCCGGCTTCATGTATAACAAAAAATAAATAAATAACAAATAAATCAAGTCATAACAGAAAGAAGATAGTCCAAAAACTTCATGTAAATTCAGATGAAAGGCCTAACTAAAAAGATTACAAGGTAGAGGGATTGGCGTCAAATGCAAGGTATAGTGTAGTCATTCACCGTGCTAGTTCAAATGCAACAATAAATAGCCAATACATGTTGGAATACAAAAGGATTTACACAAAGAATGCATATAGAAATAACACAGCTAACTCTGTGCTCTTTTTGATAACATTTACAAACAATTCATATTCAAACCACTCCTTCCTGACCTATTATTTCGTGTCAACGCAACTTCTGTAACATTTCTGTTTCATGATTGTTGGGGGAGACCAAGATCAACATTGCAAACGCACGAATTAGAACCATTCAGAAATAAGTTACAGCCCTCTACATGGCCAAAGTCTTCACTTGCTTCCCTGTTGATTACCATGCTGAAATGATGCTTTCATAAATCATGTAATTTGTTCTTCTTTGAAACGTAGAAGCGCTATAGGTTGTTGTTCATTGTTCTGAAAGTCTGTTCTTCGCATTGCAGCTGGTTTATCAACTACAGGGTTATGTGGCCTCAATTGTGACATCGAGTTATTAGTGGTATTGTGGCTACTGTTCCTGGCTGCAGGCACATCATGATTATGTTTACCCTCATATGTTGTTATGACTGCTTTAGGGTCAGTTGCCGCCCTTTCGACATGCTTTCTTACGTTACATCCCTGGCTCGTACATTTGTAATAGCTTCTGCCGAAAATAACAAGGCGTGTAAAAATTATGGCAAGCAAAATGAAACAAAGACTTCTAAATAAATACTGCAAAAAGAACGTCTCAACCAGCAAGATTCTGACAAAAAGGGCAGCCCGGTGCACAAAGCATCCCGTATTCACGCAGGGTTCGGGGAAGGGCCGCGTCCCAAGGGATATGATGTAGACAGTCTACCCTAATGCAAGCACTAGTGTGGTTACTTCCACGGCTCGAAAGTCAAAAAGTTGGCAAGATTATTGTCAATATGGTAAACCTAAAAGGAAGGTAAATGTAAGCTGGATTTCTCTACAGCTGATATTTATATATTTAAGGTTCACTTTACCACAACTCCACTCTTAAAACTAGCTGAACACCAAATGGATAGATGATATCACGGAGTAGTTCATTGACAATTAAGGAGTAAGATAAGATGGATATTTTACCTTGGATAAGGGTTTCCTTTAACAACCTTCTGGCCATACTTTCGCCACCTATAACCATCGTCCAAAAGATCAACTTCACTGGTTGTTTGAACGATGATTCTAGGTTCTGTAACAGTCCGGTGAGAACAAGCTGCCTCTGAAGTCTGTACTTCTACAGCCCTGCAAAGTACAGACATGTTAGGATACAGAAGAATTGCTGTCAAAATAGACATGGCAACAAAAGCAAAACCATGCAATAGTGCTAAGGATGAAGGAAAATACCTCCGCTTCGACTCCCGCTCATCATTGTCTCTTCCATCCACTCTAGTATCAGCATCACCCACTTCCTCACTGTCACTTGAGCCGGAGATCTGGTCATGTGTTGCTTGGCTGGATTCATGATCTTTCATTCTTAACGAATAGGATGTTTCGCCCTCCTTGGGTTTGTTAAAATTTCCAGCCAGACCCTCAGAGCTGGGCTCATAGGACCCTTGAAGATTATAATTTCCATTTGGATTTCCACTTTCTTTTGAACGCTTACTAGATTGAGGCGGCTGATGGTTGTGCTGGCCCTTATATATAATCTCTGTCACCTGGCCATCCAGGGAGCGCTCAACCTTCTTCTTGACTGGACAATTTGAATGTGTACACTTGTAATAGCTTCGAGGATATTCACTTCCCTTGACCTGCTTCTGCCCATACTTTCGCCAGTTGTAGCCATCATCAGCAGGTTTGTCAACAGCAAAGGAAGCAGGTTCTGACCTCTGATCAGATAGGGAAACATCTGATGACTCTTTCACAATGTTAGGATTTAATGCAGGAGGAGGTATCTGTTGGTTTGCTGCTGCATTTGATGCGAAGGAATGGAACTGTGACAGTGCCGCTGCAGCTGCTGTTGAAGAAGACGGATAGTCAGGCCGAATGTGCAGTTGAGACTGAGCCTGGGCTGCCTGAGTTGTAAATTGAGCAAGCACTTGCTGATGTGACATTCCAAAAGGGCCCTGTCAAATGAAGATGCATAACTAACTTAAGAGAAGTAAATTCAAATTAAACTAATTACTTTATCACTTTACATGTATCAACAACTCATTAATAATGTGTTCTGCTCATGATTTAGTTGCTAGTCAAGAAGAAGCGGGAGGTGCAGTGTCAAGAATAGCAGAGAGAACAATAACTATTGTACATGTGAATCTATCTAGAGAAACATATTCCTCCCCATTAGTCTAAGTAACAAAGTCTCAATGAATGTATCCTAAGAAGATTCAGAGTCAAAACATCATATGTTATCTCAAACCTCCATGGTCTGTTTCGAAAGGTATCAAATTTCACCTACATTCAATGATATTGCCATTATTACTCAGGGAAGAAGCACAACGGCAAGCTTCAGTAATTGTTATTTAGCAAGATGAAGTTCTCCTATGAGAGACAATTCTCTCTGTAGATTAAAGAGAGAGTTGCACAAAAAAAAAAAATCTAAACCTTATCACAGACATCAGAACAGGTCTTGACAACTTTCAATCTAGGGTTAATTCATTCTTCCAAGAGAGGAGTTGTCTATAAATATCGGAGAAGAGATACGTGCAGGATATCTTAATCTATATCCGTTTCAATGGCATTTGTTAAAAGAATTGACAATCCATTCAACTATGCAACAAGTAATAGGATAAATGAAGAATAGCATACTGACATCCCAAGTACAATTCTCATCAGAAAGGACTGTAAAATCCCGTACCACCCGACGTTGTCTTTGGCATGGACATAAGCTTTCCAATTAGCAACAATAAGAATGGTTCCAAATGTCAAAATTCCCTCCCTCCTTCCAAACTATTGGAGAAAGAAATTTTCTTCTCTTCCAACAAATGAACAGCACAATGAATATAGAACATTTACCATCATCAGGAGAATTCTTATTGCAGAGCAGCGTTAATTATGGAACTTATATACAACCTACTTGTTTAAACAATGAAACTCTTTCTGTCTCTTTTTTTTTGTTTTTCATGACTGAGGGTTTTCTTCAAACCGCATACGATATTGAGATTTTTTTTTAAAAAAAAAACAAAAGAAATAAAATAAAATGTCAGCGAGAAAGATGTTCCCTTTCTCCATATCTCTACTTACTGGCTAGGTGCAGATAGCAATGTAATAATAACAAAGCTAGATCGAGATACAGTTCGTTCCTAAATGATTCAGATGGCAAGGACTGTCAAGAACCCACGGAGAAATCCACATTAGTCATGATGTAGCATCTAAAAACCAAATACCTGTATTTTCCCTAGTAACAACTAAATATAAACAAAAAAATAACACATCTGCAAGACGTTATGTCGAGTAACTTCTATTGTCTTTTCTCTTTATCAGGCCATGTTAGGCAACAATTCCTTTTCTTCCAACTACGCTCCAGTCTAATATGACTTGCACTAGATGGGGCCAAAAATGGTTTTCTACATGAAACCTGTGGATCAACTAGTAGACAAGGGAAATGGAATAGATTCATAGCTATCTCTATCTACCTGGTACCTACCTTACCAAGTAGGGGTAAGGTCAGCGTACACACTACCCTCCCCAGACCACACTTGTGGGATTAGACTGGATCTGTTGTTGTATGTACATAGCTCCAGCCATCTTGAGCCGGCATTCAAGTAGACAAGTTAATGAATCATAGAGAGTTAGCACAGTGTTGATGAAGCTTTTATATTTTTATTTTTTGCTTAAGAAATTACCATACTTTCGACTATTGATCTCGGAAAAGTTTCTCTTTGATAAGCAGTCATAGGGGAGCTCAGGAAGGA